CAGCGGCTACATGAGTATGTGGTGTGGCTCCAAGCTGTCCATGGAGAGCTCAGACGGGAGGCTGAGCAGTGGCGACTATATCAATATGTCCCCCCGGGACCCCCAGCATGGGCCCCAGGCTCCCTCCCTCACCCCCCCAGACTTCTTTTTCGCCCCTTCAGGGCACGGGGCCAGCGAGCCCCCCAAGCCTGGCTGCTATTCGTACAGCTCCTTACCCCGCTCCTACAAGAGTCAGGGCCTGGCTAAGGACAGTGACCAGTACGTGTTCATGAATTCCCCGGGGAAGATGATCCCAGAGGAAGGGGTGTGCGGAGCGGGTCAGTCCCCTGCCGGCACCTTCGCTCCCTCCAGCCACACGGTGCCTTCGCCCCTGCGGCACAGCCGGACCGAGAGCTTCCTGAGCCAGCGGTGCCAGCGCGTGGTCCGGCCCAGCCGCCTCTCCTTGGAGACCTTGCGGACGCTGCTGCCCAGCATGAACGAGCACCCCCTGCCGCCTGAGCCCAAGAGCCCTGGTGAATACATTAATATCGACTTTGGGGATGCCGCCGTCTACTCTCCCCCCTTGCTGCCCGCTGACAGCCCAGCCTCCTCCCTGGGCTCGGGCACAGGGCAGAGGCGTTCCCCACTCTCCGACTACATGAACATTGACTTTGGTTCACAGTCACCCTCCCAGTCAGGCACGGTCTCGGTGGGCTCCCTGGAAGCGCTCTCGCCAGGCTCTTCCTCCAGCACTAGCCAGCCTGACGGGCGCTACCTGAAGGCGGCCGTGGGGGTGGCTTGTTTGTCCAGCCCGTCCGATGGTGGGGATTACACCGAGATGACCTTTGGCATGGCCACCACCCCACCCCAGCCCATCGTTCAGAAGCCAGAAAGTGCCCGGGTTACCAGCCCCACGGCGGGGGTGAAGAGGCTCACCCTCTCCGGGGTGGAGGCGTTCATTCTTTCCAGCCCTCCCCCCGACCCCAACCGTGGGGCCAAGGTCATTCGTGCGGATCCCCAGGGGCGCCGGAGGCACAGCTCTGAGACTTTCTCCTCCACCACCACTGTGACCCCCGTGTCCCCCTCCTTTGCACACAACCCCAAAAGGCACAACTCGGCCTCAGTGGAGAATGTGTCCCTCAGGAAAAGCGAAGGCCTGGAGGAGGAGCAGGGCAGCAGCCCCATGTGCCGGGAGACCTCAGCTGGCTTCCAGAATGGCCTCAACTACATTGCCATCGACGTGGTGGACGGCAGCCTGGCGAACTGTGACAAAGCCAGGTCTAAAGCCAGGCACGTCCTGAACGGGGGCATCAACGGAGTGGAGACAAGCGCCTATGCCAGCATAGACTTTCTGTCCCACAACCTGAAGGAAGCAAGTGCTGTGAAAGGTGAGTAACTCCGTCTGACAGCCATGCGTACTGTTACTTGCTGTTTGTGTTTCTCACTGCAGTATTATGTTCTCTCATGTAGAGCACGCTCCCTCCTCTCTTAAAATTTCCCAAACGTGTCCTCTAATAAACAATCTTGGAGGAACTCACTCTCTCTTTGTATTAGAGAAAATTTACTTTTGGGGTATTTCTTCACGTTTAAATTCTACTGCGCTATTTTGAGTGTGTACTTCTGGGTTCCCCAGTAGAAGCTAGTGTTTGCACGGTTACTATGTTTGGGTTACTTCAGAGTTTTCTTATATGAGATTTTTGAAAGTGTTTGGAAAATGTGACCAAAACAGTTTATGTTAACGCAGCATCTAAATAATATTTGAAGTGTAAAATGATTGAGTTAAAAAGAGTGAAGGACATCAGATGACAAAAAATCCTTGGCTGTCTAGCTGGGAAGGTCAATTATAACAACATGAGAAGCATTAATTTAATATCTTGATTTTAGATTCTCATATCTCTTGCAAAAGGTTAACAGTAAATCATGGTGAACACGGAATGTGAAATGTTCTTTACAAAAAAAAAAAAAAAAGTCTTTCCAGAAGTCAGTATATGCATGACCTGTTTCATGTTGTTTTGCACATTCTGCTTAAAGGCCTACCCTATAGTGGTGTGTAACTGCGTTCCAGCTGGCAGTTCAATAACAATATGAATGACCAGTTGGTTGGCTAGCTTTTAAATGGATTGCAAACATTCAGCGTTCAAAGACAAAAACAAACCTAAGAAATGTGAAACTTAGTGTGAGAGAGAATTTATGTTTTAATTATGTAGCTGTTCCTTTGTTGAGGTGCTAGTTTTGGTGTTTAAAAAAACGAAACAAAGGAAGAACCCCTCAAAATAGCAACCCACCTCCTCTCAACAAGTGAGAAATTGCATACAATTGAGGAGTGCTAGTTGAGGAGGGCACAGAACAGACAATCTGTCAGGGATTAAAAGTTAATGATGAGACACCATAGGGATTCTCTTTGCTTTTGCATTTATGCAAGACCTGGTACTTTAAACCTGTGTGTATATAGAGCTGTAATATATGTTTATAGGTCTAGCTAGCTGAAATGAGGTAAGATTTAGAAGCAGTTGCTTGGAGGTATATAGGTATTGCTTCTGTATTCATAGTGCTAATAGAGTTCATCAGTTATAAACAAAAAGTGACAGTTTAAGAGCTACTTGCAGTTTTTTTTTCTTCTGTATTCTTATTAGTTAGTTGATTTTGAAGAAGAAAATATTTTTTCTTTTGATAGGAAGTACAGGAAGATGGAAAAGATGAGAGATCCACGGTGTGCAGAGCAAGCTTTGAACCTTATTAAGACGGGAGGATTGTTGAATGAAATGTCAAAGCTTTAAAGGATGAACACTTACTCTGAATGACTTGGAGGGCTGAGGGCAGAGCGTTATTTGTTAGTCGTTTTTAGTTTTGCTGAAGTCAGTTTCAGAATTCATATGGCTTGATCAAAAACAATGCGAATGCTGCAATTATTGGTTGCGTTGCCTTAAAAAAGTCAAGCCTTGGAATTCTGTTCCAGGACACTTACCAAACTGTTCTGCACGTTTCTTTGCAAACTGATTTTTCACAATAATTGAGTTTTTTTTTTCTTGAGCCACCTACAGCCCCAACTGCAAACCAAGCCCATGTTGGGAAAGAACTATTTCCACAACATTCTCCAAACTGCTGACCCTAAGGCAAGGGGGGAAAGCAGGGGGAGGGGAACCAGCTGCAGAGAAAACCTGGAGTGGATGTTAGTGTTTTCATCATCCAGGCTAAAAGCAGAGGGAGTAAAATAGTCAATTAGTGAGATAAGCAGGGGGAATTAACTCCTGTCCTTCTAATAAGGTAAACAAAAGGGTAACGCAGTAAACATAGCAATGTTAATTTGATACATGGTCTACAGAGGAGAGGGTTTAATTCTCCAAAATATTTGTCAAAAGGTGGTTATAGACTTGCCTTATTTTAATAAGCTGTGTGTATATTTATTTTTCCTATTTCCCTGGGAAGGTTATAAATGTAGACCACAAACAGAAGTGTTCTGGGTAAACTCCTTGAGATTTAATCTCTGTGTAGGAGGCAAAGTTATCCTCTCCACCATTCTGTTTCCCTGAAAAATGTGTAAGCCTATTGCGCGCCTAGTTACAGCTATTCTGCTCGGGGCTCATTGTAGCCAATATCAGGGCAAGGCGGTAAGAAAAAACTTGCACAAACATCAGTCAGCAGTGTTCTGGGTTATATTTTAAAAAAGGAGTTTCTTGTTAATTGTATTTGTGGCAGACTAACTAGAAAAGTAATACCATAGGAAAGTAGAAATATAATTAATTTTATCAGTGTAAGTAGAATCGAGTCATTAACTTCTGCAAATCTCCACGTTTCTGTTTTGGTTTTCGTTAGGATTTCACACGAGAGTTTGTTTACAGAGCTACTACTGCCACCGTTAAAAAGAACACTCAGTATTACGCCAGTGCATTTAAAGTCCAAAAACTGTAATTTGGGAGATTACTAGGACTTTCAATTTTTACAGAGAAGCACATATGCAATTTAAAGAAAAATGTATTTTGAGCATAAGCAGAAGTTTACTCTGTTTACTGTTTTAACACCGAAGTAATTCAGGTAGATTTGAGGAAAACTGATTTAGCAAAATTAATAGTTCATGCAAGAGAGAGCTTATGCCATGTATGAATGGCATTGTTTACTTAGCCGTTTGCACTTCTTTTGAATTTTGTTTTTAACCCTGTTATCAAAGTTATTGAGTGGGAAGCTTTGCTTCTTCAAAACTAAAGAGAAGTTCGGAGCTTTTTCAAAACGATGGAGAATGCACATTTGTTTAATAGGGACAGGAAGATAATAGGGACTCTCAGAGATACAGGGTATACAAGTAAGCTTCTTGCATTGGGTTTATCAGTAAATTAGTATTGCCATTAGTGTAAAATATATGTAAAATAAGTCCGTTTGAATTCTTCCCGAAGGTTTCTAGCGATAGATGTAAATGTTTTCATGTGGGTAACTGTTTTAAAGGAAATTGTTTATATCATTTGAAGTACTAAGGTGGTTGGCTTTCATGTGTAGCTTGTCTCTGCTATCAGTAACTGACCTCTACTGTAGGGAATGCTGTACTTTTGGAGTTCTCTGTCCATATTATGCTGTTGTGACAAGAGCAAGCTAGTACAACCGAAATAGCTGTCAAAACAGAAAAATTAAAAAGTTGCTTAAAATTATCGGTTTGTTCAGTTTTTCTATACTCTGAAAGTGTGCAAATATTTGAGAGTCTGAGAAACACTTGCCTTCCTCTGATATGTGAATAAAATAATACTGTTACTGGTCAGTTGAAACTCTTGTTATTTGCTGATAATTAGTTAGCCTTTGTTCTAAAATTGACTGCTTTTTTGCTTAACGAAGTTCAAATTGTGTATGGTTTTTATTATTTGTGGAGACGTTTATGCTCATTTTCTCACATAATGTAAACTCTTTGTTCCAGTGGTTCTGTGACAGATTACACCCAAAAATGATCTGACTTTTTATGGTGGATCTTAGCTCTACTGCATTCAAATGGGAGTTTTGCCTTGATTTCAGTGGGCTTTCACCCTTTGTACGTAATCTTGAAGTTCTTAAGTAAAATTCCCATTAAATACAGTGGTGGTTTTGCATCAACTTTGAAATAGGGAATTTTACTTAATTGGATAAACATCAGACTTGGGTGCATTATCTTTAACTTGTTCTTTTGTTTCTACAGCTAAAATGCTCTGTAACTTTTAAAGGTTTCTAGTAGTCTGATAGTTCTGGTCAAGTTTTCTAAAACTGAACAAATACTATGTATAATGATGCAAAAAACTGAGGGTGGTTTTTCTCCTATTGAAGTTTCTCTTGTCTTGGTTTATTTGAAGGAGACTTCATCTGTAATGCATCTACTTAAGATCGTAGTAAGGTGATTTTTGACAATAATAATGAACCCCTCCCCTTGTCAATTAGCTCTTGCTTTTGTGAGGGTTCTGTGATTGCACCTAAACAATAAAAAATCTAAAGAAATCTCTTCCTGTGTCTTTCTAATGGCATTTTAGATTATTTAAAACAAACCCCGTATTTCCTTTTTTCTTTTTGGATTACATTGCACAGTGAATTATATTATTAAGTTTTTTTTTTTATTTTTCACTTCTGATATACCAACTGCCATAAAGTTGTGATATGCAAAGCAGCACGAGAATGTGGAATTGCCTCTCTCACAAAACTTGTATTCATTTGTAAATGACTTGCTAAAAGTATTACAACGATTATATGTTGTGTTAGAAATCCATACATCTTTTAAACTCTTTCTTTTAGAATAAATTATTTGTAAACGCAGTATTTTCTCTAACTGATAAGTTCTGTGAAGTGGAATGTATGCATCCAAATTAAAAGCTGAAAGAACTGAACTACTTTGAATGTCATACATAGCTTGCTTTTACAAACTCTTATGCTTAGAATTAAAAAGTGTAGATTCTCTTTTAATAGCTCTGGTAATACACTTCCGTTATTCAGATTGCATTTCACAAGTGCCCAAACCAAAATGGTTAGGTCTGAATCTGGCAGTTCTATCCATGAAACACATAAGTTTATCTGAAATTAAATGAAGCCTTTGATATTTTAAATTAGGTTGATTATATGGATCTCAACTTTTTACAAGCAGATAGAATATTAAAACGTGTAACATGTATTAGACTTTTATTTTGCTTTATACTTTAAATTATGTTTAGCTATACTGCTCTTTTAAAGAATGTCATGGTTACTTGGAGTCGTTTAAGATAAATTGTTATAGACTAAGTTGAATGGTGGGTTTGTTCTAAAATGAACCAGTACAGTCATTGCTCAAGGCAGAGGAAATGCTTAGGTTGATGGTTGCTTCTGATTACTTGATTTCTTTCAAGATAGCTACAGAGACTAACGTTCACTTGTAAGTAAAATGGATAAAGGAATGTTTGAACAGAAAGAACAT